CATCTCTTAAGGTTTGTTCCAATTCCCAATGATTACCGGATTGGCAGATTGATAGTGTAGTTTGTAACAGTCGGAGGTTTCTGCAATGAAGCAGTACATATGTATATCATATATATACACATGGAGAGACGTGATGGGTCTGTGAATCTTCATCGACGTTGACATTGGATCAGGAGCACATCATGTGTTTTAAAGGTTTGCGTTTTTGTAATAGCTGTATTTCGAAAGACTGGCATGAGCCTCAGCCTGTCAATGTCAACTTTGTGTATATAGGATTTGGTTAGTTATGTTGTTGAACTTACTTTTATGTGTGTTTTTTACGCACGGCATGAGCCAAGCACGCCGGGTGTGGAGAGGTGTGGCCTTGGGGTTTTGGGACGCCAGAAAGACCCGTGGACAGAGACCCGATGGGTTTTGTGTGCATGTATGTGATCCTACAATATCATATATATATGTAAATGCAAATCATTTGTGTCCACGATGGGTGCCGGGGCAATCATGACCTGAGTTTTACTTTGTTGTCTTCCCCTATGGGTGAATCCCCTTCTGGGGAATGTGTTTGTTTTCCCGGCTTCCGAACACGCAAATCCAAGATGATATCATTGGAACACCAGAGTTTCATTCCACAGGCCTTGCACCTCAGACTTTGTGCTTCAGGACATGCGAGCACGGAACCGAGCATGGGCCAAATGGCTCGTTGTTTTAGGAAGCAGCAGAAGCAAGAAGGTGCTGAGGTTGTTTGATCGTTCGTCGAAGACATGTTGAAGTCTCGACTGCACACCCATCATGTCGAATTCTCGATTTTTCTAATTCGAAGTCTCGAAGACGGTCTTAACCAAAACTTGTCCAGCCAACATAAATGTAGACGTGTTTGGTAGAAATGTAGGACATACCAGCATCCAAGGAGTGTACACCCATTGGATGGTCCAGGTATGCAAATGAAAACGGTACCTCAAGGTACCTGAATCCTACCGCGGTTTTGAAGGGTCGGAGCCTCGTCTACACACCTCGGGACGTCTTCAGAAGAAACCATACACCGCTTAAGGATTCCAATTCAGAATGACTCAACACACACACAATAATAGTACAATAATAACAATACCTGTAATAACAATACAATACAATGTAACATCCTGTAACAATGTTCCGGCTGAGAGACAATCCAGTTGTCCTCGTGTCTTCACACAAAACATCGTTCAATTGATGTGGGGGTCAACCCACAGAAGAACAGACGTCGCGCTACGTGCGGATATAACGTGCGTTACGGATAGAACAGTGCGTTCTATGTTTCACCGGGTAGGGGTTGGTACTCTCCTTTCCTTTTACAATAAATCACATGCGCAGTCCACCAAAAAATAATACTGGTCTAGGAGAAGATCAACCAACAGTTGCGACTCTGTTGTTCGCGGCAAGCTATCAGGGGCTGTTCCGGGTGTTTCCCCGGTATGTTGCGTCCAAAAACCATCTGGTTTGAAGAACCTCTGCCGTGCCACCAGTCTCGATGTCTCCATCCTCACCATCCGGAGGGGTTCCAACTTGGATGACGTGGTTCGGTGGACACCGACGTCACTCGCGGACGGAGACTCAAGTCGCAGCAGTTGCTGGCAGGTACGAACTCCTGGAACTCACATGGAAGCGACGTTGAACCTCTCGTTGTAGAGGAAAATTGGAAAATGGAAGACCCCAAGGGGCCATCTGTTTTTTCCCTAGACTCGTGCGTTTCTGTTCTATTGGCGACTGAGGAGCATCGGTTTTATGGGCTTTCGGGCGCCGTTTGGTCCCAATGCGTTGAGAAGCCAACGACAGGACAGGGTCTAGCAGGTCTCTTGCAGGTCACAACAGGCTCCGCATCGCAGCCTCACGGAGGTGTGGGAGGACCACCACAGGCTCGGGCAGCAACAGACGGGCAGCAACATCCGCACGTTTGAGGTGAGACGGTGAGCCGCGTAGCAGGCACAAGGGTGCATGCACTGCAGGCAGAAGCAACTGTATAGCTTCGGCAGAAGCTCAAGCTGTCACAAGCTCAAGCTGTCGGCAGGAGCTAAACATTCTCTCAGATAGGGGCCGGACAGGCCCTGGGCTGAAGGATTGCCCAGACAGCTTTCCTCACGTCCACTTCCATGTCAGTTCCAGATCACCACCGCCTATCTCTACACAAACCAACGTGGACCTTGGAAAGTGTAGCTCTCATTTTGCAAAGTCCCCTTCACTGAGGGTAGGGATAGTTGCAGGGAGTGTAGTTCTTTTGCCGCCCATGTTGGACCGAGTCTCATCTGCCCTCGGCGAGTTTCGACGAGTGTGGCTCTCGTTCCCAAGGCGAACGCTCGGTGACTGTGGCAGAGTCCCAGGCAGAGTCCAGAGATGTAATGGACAGGGACACGGCCAATTTTGTGAGAAAAGACCAGATTCATTAAAAAAAAAAAACAATCAACAAACAGCAGCTTGAGGTGTTGTTTCTTCAGTTTCTTCATTGGCAAATGATATAATTAGTCAGTTAGTCATCAGATTAGTCACCCCGGGGGTGATGTTGATATGTCTGACATTGTGGTTGTGTGACTCACGGCACTTGGATCGGGCCGCCTTCGGTCCTTTAGGTCGCGTTTCGGGCGGCTTCCGGTCGCCCGGCTTCCAGAGGGGGTTAGGGAGGTGCCACTTAGGGAGTCAGTGACTCAGATCCCCCCTAGATGTCCTACCTAGGGGGGTCAGTCTCTTTTGGCCCGGTCATATCCCACTAGATGTCGGTATTTGGTTGTTCCTTTTGCCAGGACTTTGACAGACCTGAAACACCAAGTGGTTTCTTAGCTTTGCTGCTGAATTTGGCACAGGGGAGCACAAGTCTCTGGGGGTTCTGTGGCTTGGTTGTTGGAATCCTGCGACTAATTCTCCAGCAGAAAGGCAAATTGATGTCTAGAGCACCCTTGGGCACGTTGTGTGTGTGTTTTTTGACAGGTTTGTGCTTCAACATGCGTTCGTTTGGCATTTGCTTGTCCAGCAAATACCAGGAATCCCCTCAACACTACAGGAAACCATGGTTTTCACATGTTTTTTTACTTCCAAAACACGAGCATGCTGCGACCTGTCTCTGAGACGAACCCTCCATCTCTGGCGAAGGCTCCTCACCGGACCCGCGTAGCCTAGACGGTCCACTTTGAATAGAATTGGCCAATTTGGAGGTGGATTAGTCACCTACAGTCATTCATGTGGACAAACACCTCCGGTTGAAATGATGCACCAAAGAACGATCATTTCAACCATCTTCAACCTGAGGAGCTCGTCGCCTCCCCCCTATCACTCTCCGTGGCACGGACGCCAACGGCGCCGGGCCGGCGCAGGCGGCCACCTACGAGCTGGTCACGGAGATGCGCGAGGCCTTCCTCGACGAGCGTGACCCACAGGAGGAGCCAGGGCGAACCCCCTCGCCCGGCCGATGGGAGGGTTTAGCCGAGGTGTTTCAGGACGGACTGGGTTTGACAGGGGTTGTTTTTGGTGTTACACTCCCTTAAACAATGATGAAAGTGGATGGCATGGCCCCTAGAAAGACTATGTTCCTCTACAAACTGCAGGTTGTCTTCCATGTTTGTTGCAGGGAGGGCAAGTGGCTAAACCCACCGCGGAACATGTGAAGTCACACTTCCACCCCTATCGCTGGGTTGTGGTGCCGTCAGCCATCATCCCATGTTGAAGAAACCAGCTGCTGGCTTGCTGGTGCAGAGTTTCCATTTGGACCTTTCTCCTATTTATGAGTTGCAATTGATTTTCAATCGATATTTGATCACCCTGCCAGAATGTCACATGGAGACGAGATTTCTGGAAGACCTCGACACACCTCGGAATTCCAGTCGAAGCAGGTTCCTTAGGCTTCCATGGCGTTTTTTCGTGAATGAAGGCCCCAAAAAATCATATTGTATACGGCTACTCACATTTACTCACTCATCTTCCCATGTCCGAACATCAAGGGTTCCTTTTGGCCCTCCTTGAGTTGAAGGCATTGACTTCCCAATAGGTTTTCTAGCGGTGCTATATAGCTACAATTCATGGAGGCTAAAATCGGGTGATTCTTGATGGGCGTCTCGACCATGGGCAAGAATCATCACGATAGTTACGTAATAGTTTTGGGTGAAGACGCACGGTAGCTTGGTATTGGCTACAATCCATAGAACATACTCTCTCATGATGTGCATCTATGAAGAATCACGTTTTTTTTTTTTTTACATGCTGTTTATGTTTTGCCATGATTCTATCATCAGAGGTGCCTCATGAACCAAGTGCCGTGTGTTTCAGGAGAACCTTTAGGATGGTGTTATATTTCACTAAAATATCAACTTGCAACTGTACCTCCAGCGAGGTACATCAAGTGATGCTTCATACTCCAACTACTCGATTTGATGCTGTAGAGATGCTCCAACACACTAGTTTGTTTGTGCTCGTCGGATGTTGACATTCACCAAGAATCAACGCAGCCATTTGCAGTTGGACGTGTGATCAGTTGAACGGCAAAGCAGACACAGCAGCGCCATGGCTCTGAAGCGCAAGGCCGAGACTCGGCGCGCCATCATCCAGTAGGGATGGTTCCAAACATGTCAAAGATGCCTCTGGACGGCTTGTAGGTCACCTTTTTCTGGGGGGATGGAGGACTGGATGGGGCAGCATGGTAGAACAGGTGGAGGAGAAGAACAGCGGTGAAGTGAAATGGTCGAATCTCACGGCGGGTGTGAGGGTGTGAGGGGTTGAAGCCGATGCGTTCCCTAAGAAGTGGATCATGGGCTTTGCAAGAGGAGAAGAGGACACACTTGAAAAAAAGGAAAAACCTTGATAGATTTGATTCAAAACAGTATCGGAATGTAGCAGAGGATGAAGACGGGAAGCAATATCAGTACTTATATTCTTTGACATAATATGGTTCACCATCCTTTGTTCCCTTGAGTTGCTTTCGCTTCATCAGGAGCTTTGTTCTTTTGTACTCATGTTGTTTCTCAAGCCTCACCAAGGAGACGATCCGCATGCTCGACTTGGTGATTGCCACCCGGGAGAACACGGAGAAGCTGGGCTACTTTGTGGATGACACCGTGGTGAACCCCGGCTTGGGCATTCCATACTACAAGACTGCCACTTGGGCCGCAGACTAGGCATAGGGAAGGGCCATGCAGTGTTTGGGCAGTGCTTGACTGTTTGCCCCATGGTTCTTCACAGCAACAAGGGATGGGTTTGGGATGGTTCATCTACGGGACCGCAGATTTCACAAGAACCTGGGCACGAACCTCTTTCTGCAAATTCAGCGACAGTCTGGCTCCGGGCGCGACCATCCTAGGGGGCGACCATCCATTCCATTCCACTCATAATGCGGGACCACGGACCAAGGGTCCCATCAGTGCCCCCTCAGGGTCGAATCGGGCCAACGTGGGTCCCTAAGAATCGGGCCAAGGCCTCCCCATGAACCACGACTGCAGCCTACCGAAGGGAACCCGACTGGACCCGGACCCGCGCAGGACCCGCGCAGCCGATCGCGTGCGACCATGGGAGGAACGCGTTTTCTCCAAAAAACCGGTGGAAGCCCTCCCCCACGGCGTGGCTGCTGGGTTGGATGTTGCAGCCATGTTTCAATTATATAGCAAAGATATGCAAAGATGATCAAAGATGTAGAAATTCAGAGGCTTCATCTCTCTAAGAAAGGGACCGTTTACGGACCGTGAGCAGGTTCAATGTTCAAAAGCTGGGCAAGAACGCGAATCGGTGAGGGAAAGAACTACGAATCTTAAGACTTGAGATTCCACATGAAGCTACCGCACACTGGACCCGTGAAGGACACGACTTCAGCTTCACCCCCCGAACCGAGGTCATTGAGGGTGCCAACTATGAGCACGCAGACTGGAAAGACCAGGCTTGCGTGCGCACCAGCCAGATTCACTGGCGTGATGATCACAACGTCAGCTGGTGCCTCGGGTCTGAGACACGAGTCGATGAGGTTGGGTAGGGAAAGTGGCGATGAGGCTCGATGGAATCCATGAGTTAAATGAACCTCGAACACTAGCCCCAAACTACAAACAGTAGGTATATTCTCCAATTGCAGGACATCGTAAATCAGGACATTGTCAGGATGGTTAAGGTGGATTGATCCAAGCCTCCCACATTTCCGGTTTAGCTGGGACACGAAACGGAACGCCTCCACCCGAAGCCTGTATGCTTATGGCAAGTGTAACTGGATTGGGGTGTGGACCGACTCAACTCTTTTGTATGACTATGACTCCCAACGAACTGAACAAATGCAGGAGAATGTACAGGGCTGCTCGGTGGCCATCCGATATCCGATACTTGCCATGTCCTGGACCTCATGACGGGGAGATTCCGGAGTCCCTACGGCTGGAGGCCAAACCCGATGTTTTGAGTGTTTGAACATGTGCTTCTCAGCATGGACTGGCATATTCACCGACATTGGGGTTGTTCAAAAGGGTGTCAATGTCAACGCAGGCTTATACTATCTTGCTTGTATGTATATATGTACTCCATACATGGAGCGCTTGGGGTATGATGTGATTCTTCAGCAAGGGAACCAACAAAAACGCTTGTGCGAATGACTGGGTCCTGACAGGATTCGGGCCGGCCCAACAGTCGAATGGGTTTTGCACATGTTTGCACAGATACTCGTTTTGTGTGGTATTTTCAGGTACTGTCAGATGTTCACCTTTTGGCTGGCCTTTATGATGTGCTTCGTTGATGAGTCAACCAACCACCAACATCCACCAACCACTTGTTGCAGTGCAGTTGAGATAAAGCTAGATTTTGCCATACACCTTGCAATTTGCAATTACTACAATTAGCATTAATATTTAACTCGAACATGTGTTGAAGCATGTTGAAGCAAGTTTTTTGCAGGTGGTATGTAACCCGAGCACAATCATTTGTCCATCAACCAAGATGGACCCGGCAAAGGAGATGACCCCTTCTTTTCAGGCTTGAGCGGCACCTGGAGATGACCCAGGCCTTCATTGTGATCGGCAAGAACCCAGGCCGATGACCTTCCGATGACCCATGCAGTGAGTATAGGGTCTCTTCAAGCGCGTACAGGGTCTCTTACCGCACTTTGCTGCATTCTCTTCATGCAGGCGGGTAACACAGTGATTCTTGGAAGATCTTTGGACCAGCAGTCACGTTCGACAGGGTGCTATCCATGGAGGTAGTCGGGGTGCCCCTGCCACATCCACTCACGTAAGGGGACGAGCTACACCACAACTCCATGTGACTCCTGGGAGTCGAAGGCTCCACGTGCTACGGACGGATGGACGAGTTAAGTGTCAGGCTGCAGCGGCTGCAGTGTTTTGAGTACCGACTGATCTGTCGGTTCCACTGAACTTGTAAGTCATGGGCGCGAACGGGACTGGAATCGATTGTGGAATCTGATGCACCCGTCCTCCAACAATGGAAGTGACCTGGATTGGGAAACCATGTGAGGTCCCCATCAGCGCCTTTCAAAGACTTCCCCAACTTTTGCTGGTTTAAAGAATCATGCACGCAAGCAATATGCAAGCCCCTTAACCAAGAGAGACGAAGGCACACGACTCCGATCAAGGTCTACCGCCACCTCACACCTGCACAACTGCTTAATAGGTCATAAGTATATATATATATATATCTATATTTGCTATATATAGGTTTGCTTAAATAACTGCCTTGCATTTGGTTCCTTCTATGAAACTAGACATTATATACCAAATGAGTGTATGTTCATATATCAACTGCTCACTCCTTTGGTCACCGCGCCCGGTCTCACGGCGCGCGCGTCCCAACACCAAAACTGTCTCCGGTCGCCGGTCGTCTGGTCGTGTCTAGGGCTCTTCGTGCTGGGCGAGCCGACGCACGACCGCGAAGACCTGGAGGAGAAGCAACGAGCTTTGCCGGATCCCAATCGGGTGAAGGCCTACATCATCCCCGCTGGGTCCCTTGGGCCGTGAAGGGCGGCGGAGGGACGGCGGCCAAGTCGGACGGTTGGTGTTTCATCTGCCGCGGCTTCTGTTTCAGCTGGCGTTTCTTTTCACATTAAAGGGAGGAACTATGCTGAAACTGAATGTGTGAAAGCGACTCCATCCTTTTTGAACATTGTAATTACAATTTTGCTTGGTATGCCGAGCCCAAATCGCTGCCAAGCTTGGCAAGCTGTTTGCATAACCCCACAATTGGGTTGTTCTTTGGGACTATGACACATTATGAAAGAAGTTGCAGAGGGTTTTCCGGCGACAGTCCTTCTTCCACAACAATTCATTGTGACTCTGCAAGGTTTTGTAGCTACAGCTCTTCCATGCTCTTCCAGTTGATCACTTCCCACTGGTCAGACTTGGTCTCCGGACGTCGGAACTCAACACCTCGATTAGAAATCTAGAGGGTCAGGTGGCTTCACAACAGCAATGGCCCCAATGAATGCTCTTTATGTTCCGTTGAGGCATCCACCCTCCTGGCCGTTCGGTACGACTCTCCGTCCTGGCGAGCGAAACAGCGGATGTTTTTTTGGGATCACCGGGCATACCAAGCGAAGCTTCCGGGCCTCCCCAGAGGTGTTTTCACCGGTGTGGTTTGGGTGAGTACTGACCACAAGGAAGAGGATTTGCAAGATGAGGTTTGGGTGTCCACGTGTCTTGCACCAGAAAGAACCACGACGCGAACACCACGGAGGGGGTGTGACGAAGCAATGAATTTCCGTGACAGAACCCTCATGGTGCCGTCGATCACCTCCAGCTCAGGATGGGCCTGATCCTCAAGAAAGGCCACACCCGTGGGTGGAGTGGAGTAAAAGAATGGCCTACCGATGCGGAAATAGACCCTGCATTTTGCAGTTTGTTGCCCACCCACAGGGAGCCCGTGATGCTCATGATTTTGGTTAGCATTTGAATGAGAATATCTGAATTACAGGTTGAAGTCTTTTGAGACCAGCACTTGTTGCACATAACTTATGCGCCATAAGCGCCTGTAGCAACCTGCACCGAACTAAACCACAGCCAGTCCCCATTGGTATTGGTGTGGAACAATAGTTGTCGTATTGGTGTGGAACGTACAGGAGCATCTGTTTAAACTGCTCACATCGGACACATCGTACACTGCACCAGCAAGGCAACTTGTACCGGTCCTGAGACCACCGGCAGCTTCGAAACGGAGGTCGTGGCAGCCTGGGCCATTTCTTTTCCCATCCTGGGATGGCCTCCAACCTCATAGCGATCTCCAACCTACTAGCGATGGCCTCCAACCGGGGAGGTCCGCGTTGCTCCATGACTCCTCCGCGGTCGTGGTTGAAGGCGCCGAGCGAGCTTCTCCTTTCTGCGAGGCACTTGGCATGACTTCCCCGTCTCCTGTGGCCCTCCACTGTCGGCCTTCATCATCAACACTGAGGAAACAGGGGAGTTCAGAGAAGAGCGTGGAGTGATGGGAATGGTGGAAAACAGAGGAGGTTGATGGAGAATTGATGAGTTGTGCCGGAATTCCAGTGAAGTGAGCAAGGTCCAGGGTGGTTCAAAGGTAATTATCGTCGCCTTTCATGTTGTTTCGACTTCGAAAGATAGTCTGAGCGGTTTGAGTGTGTTTAGACATGTGGCCTTTCTGGAATCTCCCCTTGTCCGATGACTGCATGATCAACAAGCAAGCCCACCATCACAGGAGGTCGTGGAAGCGCTTGCCACGATGCCACAAGCTGCGCCGATGAACCATGGGGATTGCTCCTGGGCCTGGTGTTGCTTAAGGTGATGTTTACTTTTCCTTACGGGTAAATCATGGAAAGTCCCCTTTCTGGATAATATGGTATTACTTTTCCTTTTCCTTAAGCAGATAAAAGTAGGACGTAAAATCCCAAAGGTAGGAGCAAGGTCTCTGGCTGCGGCTCAAAGTATAAGACTTCAATCCTTCATATAGGGCTCTTTGATCTACTTTATGGACTCGCATGGACTTCTGCCTCCATGATTCATGAGTATCAATGGAATTCAAGGGTCGGGTCTTGGAGATTTGTCCTTCTTCCATTAGTCTCTGTGATAGGTTTCACCTATTCAATCCTATTCACCTATTATTCTGTCCGGTTCACGTAATGCAGCACCCCATACCATATGCAGCACCGAAAAACACCACCCCACCCGGCTGCTACCACTCCCGTCCTCACGAGGCTATAAGCTCCGTCTCTCCGAGCAATGGGACTTCACCTTGCGTCACCTGGCGCGCGCATAAGCAAGTGGTGAGGGGCAGTTGCAGGTGGTGAGTGGTGAGGGCGAAGACAAGCTCCATATTGGGGTGTGTGGTATGTGTGTATGTGTTCATAGGGCCATCCCTTTTTGAAGTAGTGCATAGATTGATCTATTTCCCGAAGGGTAGTTGCCGAAGATAGGTCTCCCTTTCAGAGGGATAGGTCCTTCAAACTGATGCCCGACCAGCCCTGGTCCACCGGCCGTGCCCAGGGGGGCGGTTTTGGCGGTTTTACAGCCACATGGAGGACAATGATCAGTCCAAAAGTGTACTCACCATCGATGGAGACCTTTTGAAGACTGCTACTGAAGGTGTACATACAAGGGTTGATGGACCAACTACATCGGCACCACCCAAAACTACTGGAAATAGCGGGTAGTGACTCCGGCAAGGACCAAGTGCGGTGGTACTGAAAGACTGCAAGACTTCGAAGTTGACAGTCGACAGTATCCAACAAGAGGCTGAGTCGAACTTGAAAAGCCAGTTTTCGTTTGCACACGCCACTAAGCACCCCATAACCACGCCTGGGTCAGAGCCACTTGTTGCAATTTGTTGCCCCTCTATAAACAGGCTGTGTTTGGGAAACCTTGGAGCAGAACAGAGGGTTTAGGGTTTAGGGTTTAGGGGAGTTGAGAGGTGGACTATATATGTTCTTATATAAGACACTTGACCTTCAGACACTTGACCTTCTTGACTTATACAATATACATTGCAATGGCAAAATTCAGACACTTGACCTTCAAGGCAAAGCGTCGCGTCCCTCAGTCGCTCCTCTCGAGGCTTCCCCGATCCACGGCCCTTCATCCAGAAGCACGGCTTGGCGCCGCAGCCCTTCCCGGTGCCGCTCATGGGCCAGGAGACACCACGGTACGGGCGCCGGAGTACGGGAAGATGAGGCGCAGCTGCAGGGGTCGAGTGATGTGTGTTTTTCTGCGAGAAGAGGTGCTTTTCTATGTGGTACCGAGCACTTCCTGTCCGGTTGCCCTGTCTGGAGACCTTTCAGTATGCCCATTGGTTTTCTTCGCAGCAAGGGTACATATTGTGGGAGCAGCTGACAGGGCGCTAAAAAGAACAAGCCGCAGCTGATGGGAGTGAACTGTTCTCCTCATTTGATGTCTGATCAGGTCGACCAATTCAGAACCTGTTTGAATCGATTGCAAGCATGATCACGTCTCTAGCGACGGTGAACATGGTCACTGACCTTGTTGAAGACCCTTTCGGAAGAGCGCAACGGCCGGGTCCGCCGGTGGAAGCCCTTTGGTCTGTGATCCAAAGCTGGATCCTGAGCGTTGGAATCCTTCCGTTGGAATCGGGTGGACCTGCTGAAAGATCCATGCGCAGGGATCCAATGGAATCGATTCAAGGCCCGGCCACAAACCTTGTTTCACTCACTTTAAAGCCACAACTCCAGAAGATGGTAGAAGAACAAGCCATGACATAGATTCTCATGATTCTCAGAAGGTGTTTTGTTTCCCCTGGGTTTTAGAGACCAGCAAGCAGGCGCGACAACAAAGGCGACAACAAGCATTTCTTTTGGGGGCAAGGAGGGATCAGGGACTGGGAAAAGAATACTTCTACAGTGGTCTTCTACAGTGGTTTCAGATTAGATGGCACAACCCCCAAGATGTCTTTTATATAGGGGTCCAAATATAAACCACCTTTTGGGGATTGTGCCATCTACTCTCAACCCACTATATCTAATCTTGACCAGTCTTTTAGAACTCAAGTCTCACGTGGCAGGGCCTCGGACTTCAGGATCTCAAACATAAAAACACGCAGCTCCTGTGGCCAGCCTGACTTCCTAGAATCGACAGGAGGGCTATGGTGCTGGCATGCACCGTGAAGAAGTTGCGGCTGGATGGGCCAAGGGCAAAAAGGTCGTGGTGGTGCCAGTGGTGAACGTGGAGGCCGCGCGCTGTTTCACCCCGGAAGATGCTTTGTGAACGGATTCCAGCTTCGCCCCCTCTCCTCCTCTATGCATATCTATGCTCCCCGCATCCTCCCCTATGATTTCTGTGGAAAGCATGCACTCATAATTGCCATGAGTGGTCAAAAGGATTCAAAAGGATACGTTTTCCAAGACCATTTTGGAGGATGCATTATCCTTTTTCGCCTGTCTTGACCTTTGTCCGTATATGTCTCCCAAGGTCGGAAGTTTTGTGAAGGTCAACTCGTTCTCCAAGATGTGTACCTATAGTATAGATAGCCTCCTTGTATTTGTGGATACTGTATTACAGTGGATATCAGTGGATGGAGGAGTAGCTGGCACAAGTTGCCCCAAGTGATGCTTGGTTTATGGAGCCCCCATCTCAATAGCATTTTGGCGCTTGTGCCATCTACTCAGGTCAGCCACAAGAACTGGTAGTCCAGGTCAGACGGTGACCCCTTGGAAGCAGCTAGCATTACTGGTGTGCAACATCACGGACTCACAGCTAGCCATGGTGTTCATGTGCCCGATGCTTACAACTCCCCCCTTCCGTGACGCCTGTCGATGCTTACAGCGGTTTGGGGGGAAGATCGTGCATGATAAGGGCATCTTTACAATCTTTCTTGATTTCAAAACGATCTCGCGTGTCATTCCAAATCCTCTTGGGGAGCATGTCTTTGCAGCACTCTATTGTTCAAACAAGACGCTCCGTTGAACATGTGAATGTTCCTTCCAAACTCCAGATTTTCACCCTGGATGTCACCTGTAAATACCTTAGACATGTCCTACTTACATACATCATGTCTTAATCTTTAGGTGTGGTGTAGGAATCCATTTGGGATATCCTTCTTAAACTTCAGATTCCCACCATTTTCCACCTGGACCTAACCCTTGGAAATGTCGTACTTGGATAAACTCCATTTTGAGATCCACCCACCTGGGACTTGGAGTGGTGGCATCCGGGCCATCGTTGCAGGTCTTTGTGCCAGGCAGCCGGGGCCCTGCAATCCAGCCCCACCTGCAATCCACGCCAGAAGTGGCGAACCGCGGGTGGCGGGATTATGGAAACACGCGAGGCTTGAAGCGCTTGGTGGAGATGTTCAAGGAGCGCCTGCATTGGGAGAATGACCCTAGGTTAGGAAGAGATGCAACTAAAAGCCAGCTGGTAGGGACTGGTCCCTATCCCCTTTTCAGCTTCAGTGTGATCTAGGCAGGTGATCCACCTTTTCAACGTGATCAGCTAGGTAATCCACAGACGTCAAGGAGTGAGAGCTAGGGTAGTGCGCGGTGTGGTCCAACTCCAGTGGATTCTGTTCAATTTCGTTTGGGTGTCCGTCTACTTGGGAGCCGATGCGGGGTTGACCTACACATCCGAACGTGCTGCCCAGCTGGTTGCCCAACTGACTGGACGAGTTATTGAAGTATAAATATACCCGAACAACATTCCAGAATAACTATGCCGGACAGACACATTCTTTCGATCCACGATCTTTAAGATTTTTAGCCTGTCTTTCTTCACCAGGCCCCACGGCGTCTCGGATCCCCTCTCTTCTCCTTCTCCCCACGGCCGCTTTGGCCAGGAGCTGGGGCTTCCGGCCACCGCGGTGATCAACAGTGAGGCTGTGAAGGATGAGGACGTGGCGAAGGCAGCTTACCGCCGCGGTGCTTCTCTCATGGGGTCGGAGACAGTGTGTCCGAGCCAGGTATTTTAGAGTTTTGGTTTAGTCTATAGTGAGTATAGTGTATGAAATGAGCCGCACAGGAAGAGTTCTGATGTCCAAGATCACCATGCTTATACCATGACTGTTCTTCCAGGAATCTTCCAACGCATCAAACAATAATTACCCAAAGAATCCTCAAGAAAACATAAACCATTTGAACAAGACCAAAGACCACTTAAGATGGCCATTCATTCTTCCTCCGATCTGCTTCCAACACCCTTCTCTCGCGGCGCGACTCGACGTTTCCCGACGTCGTGTCCGACGTCTCGACGTGTTGAGGTGCTGAAGGGATCAGGCTGGGAGTTTGGAGCTCACGGCTTGAACAACTCGTCAGGCGACGGCGGGCTCCGTGTTCTCGAAGGGGCAGTCACGGGTGGGTCGGTCGGTGATCACCGGTGATTTGATCCGGTGGAGCCGTGGGCTGTTTTGGGTGTAGCAGCTGAGGGATCTATGGTAGACCAGTTGGGTATGCAGTTCATCATGATGGTTTGTTCTAGCTGTCAAAACCACGGTAAATTAACGTCACTGTGGGTCTTGTTGTTCATCAAGTTAACTTAGACTTACGTGAAGCGGAGCAAAAGCAAGAAGAAGTGCGTGATCAAATCTGACTTGCTCAAGGCATGCCGTATGGCCACTTGACCAAAGTAGAGGGTCGCTTGCCACGTTCAACTGGGCTTTGGCAATTTTAACTTTGCACAGAAGGTGCTGCAGGGTTGCTTGCAGAGCAGAGAGGTCATCTCAACGGGATTCTTGCGATAAATGTCAGCTTCTCCTCTAGAGTGCGAAAGATGGCCGATGATGAGATATAATAAGATAAGCCCTTGGGCTCCAAGTACCTTCTCAGATGGTATTTGGACGATCTAAACCCACCCCAAACATACTCTTAGAAGGTACTTGGAGCCCAAATGGGAAGTTGGAAGGCAATCAGATTGATCTGGAAGATGGTCGTGTTGTAATTCGGCCATTCCATCATGAGACCATGGTAATTACCGCCATAGATGGTGTGGTACGGCTACGGGACCATAGCCATGCGGGTTCCCGAACATCCAACCAGTACCTTTCTTGCAGCTTCATTGCAGCTTGCATCTTGATGTTCAAAGGCAGAGAGGCCTGCCGGCCTGCACCTCTTCTGCCAGGTGCTTCCCACATGAGCCGCCAGGAAGAAGAGGCATACTTCAAGTGCTTTGGCAAAAAGAAAGACGTCAGGGGCGGGACGTTTGTTGAACTTGTTTGAGTAATTATACTATCCAATATCCAAAAGATCTCCTCCAGCAGCCAACAGTAAAGTTTGCATGCCAGACCTGGTTTGCGTGGGACAATATTGTTTCCCAATGGGTGAACCAGTCCCCTAACCTGCGAGCAGTTCTTCTTTTTCCGGTTCTTGGACAGCAAAGAATCCAGCACAAGGAGCAAGATGGCTTGGTGCAAATCCCACAACCGTGTAGAAAGGGTGCATCCATTATATACATCATTGTATACATCAATTTAACGCATCAACCTTCCATGCTTTTGGGAAAGGGCTTCAACATGGTCGCTTGCTGATCAGGGATGGTGAGTCGTTAGTTCTGTGGGTGAGGACAGGGTGATCTCGGAGAACTCACCATGACTCATGGATTATCTAAGGGCCTTTCCCGCTCAACGATCTCAGCCCAAAGACCCAGAAAAAATTGGAGCATCCTGTGGAATAATTGCTTTGGTCGGATCAATCTAAAATCACTGAGACATACTGGGACAGATACCTCAGCAGGTCACGAAAGAATGCAAGGGACAACCCTAGGGCTTGGCTCCATGTGCCCAAAACCACCTTGATCAAGCCTTGGATTTGTTTGATATCATACAGCTCAGGTATTGTGTGATTGCTTTCAGCCCTGCAGAAGCCCTATAACCCTTATATAAGCATCATTGGAACCTCTGGAGATGTTTGACCCTGCATAGCTAAGAAAAGCACACCTTTGGAGCACCCCAAACCTTCACTCAACCAGGCATGCGAGCTGACGTTGTTGTGCTCTTGGCCTTCTCACCGCATGTGGGCATGTGTTTTGCATGTGGGCCAATTTCGCACCCCTTTGGTGGTGCTCTTTGCCTTCTCACCCATGGATCCTATCACCCAGTGTTTTCGCACTGTTTGCGTATTTGGGCGAGGATGAGGTTGGTATTCCTTGAAGGTGTGGTTGGTGTTGTGATTTCGACCGAGGCAGACGCTTGATGATCTTCAAGAGACCTTGGGCCCTTTGGACGGCGGATGGAGGTGATGGAGATCCAAAGCAAAAGCGAAAACAAAGGGCACACCGACCTTCATGGGTTATGTCAGAGGAATTGATGTATGGAAACGAGGGGTCAATTGATCGGCAGTCCGACAGACATGGAGTGGAAACGGGATGGGTCATTTGATTATTTTATGATTCCCAAACACTCCATGTATACCATAATATGCCGATCAGGCCAGGGGTGGTTGAAGTCAATGGATCGGCAGTCCTATGCCAGTCCCATGGAGTGTGTGGAGTGTCTGGTGTCGACACCCCGAGCACTTGAGCTCGGCGGTCCGAGCCTCACCACTCGCCTCGAACGCCCCAGCGAGGCGATTTGCACGGTGAACGCTTCTCCGAGGCTCGCGGCCTCAGACCTGGCTCACTCCCGGCTTCAGTGTGACCGAGCGCACGCCTGAGATCGCAGCGAAGGTGTGGGTCGTGGGTAGGTGCGCAGATCTAGGGGGGACGTTGGAGTTAGGGGGGACTCTAGCAGCCCCTGGAGACAAACATGGGTTCATTTATTGTTCATTTCAATATCAAGATGACTTTATCCGGGCAAGAAACGGATCATCCCAATGAGCAGATCTTGGCATTGCTGCTCCAAGAATTGCTCCAACACTTTGTTAAACGTCCACTTGTTTCCAGCGCACCAGGCTGGCATCCAGGCGCTGCTGGATTTCGTGGATGACGACGTGCCGTTCTACCTGAAACACGAAGAAGCGGGCAGGACCTTGTGCTTGCCCTATTGCATGGATCCTTGGCGTCGTTGTAGTCAGTCGTGGTCAGAGGCGGTCCGGTGACCAGTGAAAGACCCAAGAGGATAAAATGGGTAAAAGACCGGTGGGCGACCGGTGGGTGGGCAGATAGCACCCAAAGAAGAAGCTTTCAGGGTGGCAGATTTCATAGTTGGCATAGTTTATGAGGCTTACAGAACTGATGGTGTTCAGCTAAGAGTGTGTTTGGAATCTGTCTTCGTCTTCTGGGACTGAAGGTAGTCACGAAGGAGGTCTTTGTGTGTGCTTGAACTTGGATTGGAGGTGGAGGAGAACTGCCAACTACTTCGCAACACGAGATGGATGATGTGACCTAACAGCAGAACAGCTGTATTCAACATATCTAAGACGCGCCAACGGTTGACAAAGCAACGATTCCGTTCTCTCTTGGGTCATGCTGACCAAGCAGCTTTCGTCGGCTAAAAGAAACGCTAAAAACCATCGCTGGCGTAGCCTGGGAAGGAACGAACCAACTGTGAGGCCTTTGTGGCTCTCCGTTTTTCGCAACACGGCTCAGCTGGTGTTTTACTCTGTTGCTACGCTACCATCTCCATCCGGGTCCACCAATGAACTCCACCATGTTGCTACCTGAGTCGGAGACGCTCGAGAACTTGAGGCCCCAAGGAATCTGCACCATCCTTAACACCTGAAACCTTCAGAGCCAAACTCAAGAGGCGTCGCACGGGCACGGGGCGCTCGGTCTGGGCGCTCCTCGCACCGGCGCCTCTCGCGCCGGGGACACAGTGCCGATCGGTGCGCGGCGGTCTGGGCCGAGGAGACCAATGACTTCTCCTGCGTTTTGGCGAAGCAGCTGGATGCGCGTCAGTACGCCCAGACCATCGAAGATCATGTCCGCCAGTTGGCCAAGGAGGAGGGCGAGAAGGTGGTTTGCTTGGGCCTCTTGGCAAGGATCGAAACTAAAGGAATTCGATGGTAGGTCTGTATAATATAGTTCTGTAAAAGTGTGTACCAAATCTATAATGTGGTCCAGAGTCTAACTCACAAGCCTTTCTTCAATTCAAGCAGCTGATTCTTGGCTTGGAAGCCCCCTTACACTGGGCCTTTTCAGGGCCCGGTGTCTCATCGATCGAGTCGTCCGACAAAGCCCTCGGTCCCGCCACTTTTTCGATACGAGGCATGCACACCTTCGTGGCCGGCACCCCTGCGCGTGTCTTGGCCCTCACGGAGACGCTCCAGCGGCTGCGCGAGCTGCCGGGCGTTGCCTTCGCCACCGCTGCGCAAGCGCCACGGCGGCGTTTTGGTGCGTGCGGCGTGTTTCAACGGGCGCGGCGTGGAGCGCGGAAGTGCTGCGAAGGTCTCAGGACATAGATCTCATCGGGGGAGTTCACCACCACCATGGTTTGCTTTGACCGATTCAGGAAGGCGATGCTGAGGTCGGCGACCCAAAGCCCTTCAGGTGTTTAGAATATGTTTAGATCCTTCAACACCAACCCAGTTCCATCCAAACCTCATGGAGGGAGCCTGGATGAGGCTAGATTCTCCAGATGGGACCCTCGCAGTCAAACGGTGGTGGACTTGTTCCTGTTTGGTGACCAGGCGATGTGCACATGTCATGTGTGCATGGGTGTATGTTCCATATTAGTGCCCCCAAAAAATGTGCACATGGGATTTAGGGCAAGCTTTGTGGAGTCAAGGTCGACCCCATGCGATGTTTGGTTCTTCCAGGACCATCCTGTTGGGGTGTCCTGGCACCCCACACTACCAGCCGTTCGGCTTCCATGTCCAGGGCACCCCGACAGGAGAGGATGAACGAATCCAGCTGGTGGCCAAGCTGGCGCGCTAAGCTGGCGGATGAAATTTAGAGTGAGGTCTATGTTCCTTATGAGTGAAATCCCCTAACCTGGGCGAGCTTAGGTTCTGATATTAGGTGGCTGAACTGGGCAAGCTGAACTCAGATGTTGTCATGAATTTCTCCCAGTTCAGCTGAGGTTTCTTCCGCCTTGCAGTGAGTGGCGCTTTGGGACGCGCCCAAACTCTCGGTAGCAACACCGAAGGGGGCGACTGCAGATTGGGCGTACCTACGTGCGCCCAACACGGGCCCTCTCGGGAATCCAACTGTTCCAGGGAGCTCCCTATGTGTGCTCTCAGATATAGGATATTCTTCTTACTAGCACGCAGCACTAGCAAGGATCAGGAACAAACAGGGTGTGCAGGCAGGCAGGAAGGCTTAAAAGGATCTTGGCAATTTGGACCAAGTTGATGATTTCACTCCCGGAAACGGGCTAAAGCAACATTGCTAAGCCAACCCACCAGTCACTGAGTGTCTTCTCATGTCTTCTCTTTCTGGGCGAAACGCCTTTCAGCATCAAGACTCTTGATCTGGGAACCATTGATCTACAAAGGATTCTCAAAGGCAGGCGTTTAGGATGTTTTGCCAGGCAGGTCCGAAAGCCATGAGACGTTGAATATCCGCGTGGCATGTTTCTAGGGCCCACCAAAGAACTGCAGCCTTTCCTGTGGAGACTTGCTGAATTGTTTTGAAAGTTTCAGCTAGTCCTTTTACATGGGCGGCCTCCAAAAAGAATCAACAGAAGGTGATTTCCATTGATTTCCTTGTTCCTTTCCAGCAACCTTCCTTCAACTATTGCTCTCCACCACGAGGAGCTGATCCATGAGCTGATTCTTCTAGGCGCCAACACCCAGGCGCCTGGTCGTTCAGTAGCAAGAGAGTCGGCGTTCGAAATGCGCTGATGCGCAACGTTTTCGTCTTGACGCAAGGCTTGAGACGATTGGCCTCCCAACATATACTATATTGCACCTGGTTTGGTAGTCTAAACTCGAGTTTCTGTCCTGTGAACGGCAACAATTGTAGATTGACATGATTCTATCCAGGGATATTCATCAAAAATCGATGAGTGGTGAAACTGTGAACGGTTCCGTGGCTGGTGCAGTGCAAGCCCCGAGAACGGGGCTTAGAACGGGGGTTGTGGGCTGTTGGTCATGCACACTCAACATTTGCTGCCGGAGGAACATGATTTGGAGAAGTTCTAATTGCTTATAATGACCAGGAGTCTACTAATGATGAGCCAAACAAGAAGGAAACACTGTTTGGTGAACGTAATTACAATGCTTAATGACCTAATATGACCGCTGATTAATTATGGCTCCTTATTTGTAACTCCTCCCTGGAAGATTAACATGGAACCTGAAAACCACTGGTTGGTAGAGGAAAACCACCTCCCAGGGGGCCATTCTCCGGATGTGAGTTTTTGGGAGTCTAAGACTCCAAGCCAAAGAGTCCAACGAGTGTGCTCCAGAGGAAAAACCAACTCCGCCTTGGTGAACCAGGTGATGTTTTCCACCGCTGGAGGAGGTGGAGTAGACTGTGCTGTTCAACAAGAAATTGAAGAACGGGCATCTACTGCCATTGGTCCAAGGAGGATCGGTTCATCTAGCCATCCAAGGAAGTTATTTGGTTTGCGATGGTCAAGAGACAAGAGAGCCTAGGACCAGATGGTGCAACCAGAGATGAGAGGATTCGGAAAAACCACGGACCGGCGCTGGAAGAGGCTGCCACTGTTCAGGCAACCAGCCTGATTCTTTCAGGGAATCCCGGTGCTCCGAACTACGGAGCAAGTCGCGTGTAGCACCTCGTCGCTAGGCCCGTGGGGTCGACTACGAGAGCTACATCCTGGATCTGGCAGAGGAAAGAGGGGCACATGGGCAGATGGTGTAGATCGCAGATGGTGAGAGGAAAGCACTGGGTCACTTCCAAGATCTTCCAAGCTTCAATCTCTATTCATCCTAACCTGCAACATACGATATTGGTGCAGGTTCTGCAGTAGACTTTGATGTTGATGATCCCGTTCTTTTTACCCTCCTCCTTCAAAAGGGAGGGAGCTGTCCAGTTAGAAATTAGTGAGACCACTCTTGCTAGTTGTTGCTGTGAGCGTCACCTCCAACTTCCACCTCTTCCCGGACTTCTAGGCCTGAACTAAAATCTAGCTCGACTAATATATATGTTGAATGAATTGAATCTCGCAGTACTTTTGGGTGTGTGAGACCCAAGGACCTCCGTTTCGAAGAAGACGCTTGGGCTGGGCGATTGTGCAGGGTTCTGTGCCAAGGAGACGGGCCTAACCCGCCCGCAAACGCGGGTATGTTGGTTCAATCGTCTTGTGGCTGGACCAACATCGTGACCTCATCTATGGGGGCATCCGAAGACCATGGGCACCGAACAGTTCACCCGGAGAGACCGCACGCGACGAACCTTCCGCTCTCCGCCGCGGCGGGTCGCTCGCCGTGATGTGGCGCGCGACTTGGATGGCTTCGAGGCCAGCGACTCAGAGGTCTCCGAGTCTGATTCCTCGGGCTCCGGGTCGCACCTTGAGATGTGCCTTGGAGCAGAGAGCAGGTGGAGCTAGCAGGTGTCAGCAAGCAGGTGGAGCAAGCAGGTGGAGCTAGCAGGTGTCAGCTAGCAGGTGACAGTAGGTCCATATGGAGGTGTGTCGAGTTCAGGTGGGTTTTGCGGATCAGGTGCATGTTTTTGTGTATGTGTTTTCCTGTATGGAGGTAAACCTCCTGCTAGGGGAATATGTGATATTTGTCTCGGCTCGTGGACAGCAAATCCAAGGTAGTTTAAAGGTTTAAACATGTTTCACTTGTTTTCGTTTTTCTTTGCCATGGACGTCCATCCCACAGTCTCTCTGACTACTCTGGACCACCACCCCCGGGCTTCAGCCACTTCAACAAGTATCCACCGGCGGAGGATGAACCCAAAGGTCTTTTGAAGCGACGTCCCTGCCGATAGACGACTTAAGATGTCTCATGTGATACTGACTGGTGCTTAGTAGGGAATAAGGGAATGAGCCCCCAATAGAGATTCTATTGGATCCAGCCACCCTCATTCCCTGCGAGACGCACCAGTCAGGATATGTGCCCCTTTTGTGGTCGGACCAGTGGAAAGAAGTGAAGTGAATGGGGACACCAGCAGCTCTAGGATTAGACCTTCCACGGAGTGAAAATTGATTGCACTATACCGATACCCTATGACCTATGACCATTGGGGGACCGAAACTCATTGGAGAGCTTCTCGAACACACCGGACTTGAGGCTGATTCCTGTAGGCCCTTGGTGTACTCATACTTGGTTGGTCGAAGTCGTTTTGGTTCCTGTACGACCCAGCCTCGAGTTTTTCAGGGTTTTTTTCAGTGGGGTTTTCATATCGGGTTGGTGGTTCTGAGTCTCAGGGCCTAGAGGCCAGGGGGTCAGGTTCAGCATCATGGTTTCAACTGGCCGACATGGTTTTTGTTCAACACTCCCTGTTAAACACTCACATGGAAGCGGATGGCAGTTCGCCCCCAAGTTCAGATGACTTGATGACATCCGAATACCCATGCAGGTGGTGAACTCCATGTAATGTAACCATGAAGTGTAGAGGAAAAGAGGCCTTTCGGCCAAGTGTTCAAGGGTTCCATGGCAGTCCATGGTGCACATCTACTGGTGGTGGTTTCCCCACCAGCCAGGTGAGGGTCTCTAGATTGTATGAAAGTGGCACGTCCATCCTCCTCCTCCTCCTCCTCCTCCACGGAGCTGCAGCATGGTCTTGGCACACACGGACCCAAACACATGTCAGAAAAAAATAAGAATGTTTGAACGCATGCCAAACACACATAGCAGCACAAATGTCGGAACGCTTGTCAGACAAATGTCAGGACAAACCTCAGAATACGTGCCATTATACACATTGCAGAACACATGCCGGAACACTTGTCAGAACAGATGTTTGAACACATGTCAGAATATTCAACCACGCGTGCTAATAGGACATACCAGAAAAAAGGAACACGTCGGAACACTTGCCAGACAAATGCCAGAACACATCTCAAGAACATGGAAGATCACATGCCAGAACACATATCATAACAATGCCTGATCACTTGTCAGACGTGAGGCCAATAGGGCCAAAACATGCCAAAACAAATGTCAGAATACGTGGCAAAACACATGCTATGCAGAACACATAATACAACACGTGTTGGATCATATGTCAGAACAATTCAGAACATATTTCGGAACAAATGGCAGAGCAGAGCTTTGACCGGACAAATGTCAGACTTGACTACATTGCTACATGACAGAATGAACGGTCAGGAAAAAGGACACATATCAGAACCTAAGCCGGACCATATGTCAAAGCAAACTTCAGAACACATGCCAAGTTGATGCGAGAGTACATGTCAGAAGCACATGTCACATGCCAGAAGATATGGCAGAACTCATGTCAGACTTCACGGCAGGACACCTGTTACAACACACGACGTCAGAACACATCCCAGAACAGTTCCCAGTAGATCCCAGAACATCCC